TTATAGTCAAATATAATTTAGACAACTCTTAAAAGGTTTAAGACTCGACTGGTTGTCACAGAATTCATTCATACATATGGCATCGATTACTTAAGAGACATTCACCATGTTGCAAAATCAACTCTATAAGAGTTCTTCTGTCACATTCAGCTAATCTTGGCTAGACCCTACAACAGTTGACTATAAAAAATTTATTTCTCACTGGAGACTTGGAGGAAGAAATCTACATGGATGTACCTCTAGAATTTAGTGAGAATTTCGACATAAAGGTGTGTAAACTAAAAAAATTCTTGTACAAGTTGAGTTCATTGTAAGCAAGTTGAGCATGATATATATTTATGCTTCAGCATTTAGTGATTTGGGGGAGGGGGGTGTGATTTTAGGAAATTTCCTTTTTAGCATCTTCAATCTTTATTATTTTTTATTTTCAGAATTAGCTCTTATTGGAAATTTTTATTTCTCTTTTTCTAGCATAAAGATTTTATTGCATTCCTAATGTGGTGCCCTTCTCCTGCTATTTATCTTGTAACAGAGTCTTAGAAAATTTAAAAGAAATAATTATTTTCCCCTCTAAAAAATTAGAGTAAGATCATTGCTATCGCGCTTCACTAACATAATCATCATATGTCAAAATTCAATAAAAACATTCCGTTCATTTGGTTTCTATAAGTTTGTATATGCAAATAATTAAATACTAACTTGATAGAGTGAGAAAAGAGCCTTCATCAAACTAACTTTTAAATAATGAACTGTTGCTTGTCTCAAAAAAAAAGGAATTCGTCAATGTGTCTAGAATGCCCAAATTTTCTTAATAGAGGCCACTCGACGAAAACGACAAGAAACAAATGCAATGATTTGCGGATCAAGTCCAAATCACTTCAACAACCTTTGAAGCTGTCAAGACGAACTCCATTCATAAGATAGATTGCAGGAGGACGTCCAAAGAGTTGAAATTGCCTAAGAAGGGGTCATTCATGATCGAAAAAAGCGGACACAATGAAAATGATAAGACTTGAATGCAACATCACACAAATTAAGGTAAAAAATGACAACCGTCAACGAAACACCCAAAACAATTTCCAATCACAAAACTGACTATGCGAGCGTGTCTAAAACATCAACTTTCCATCTAAAGACACTCATATTGCTAGGCTCTCCTATACTAGTAGATGACAAAAAATTTGAGGCGAGGAAACTTATTTAAAGTGCTTTAAAAAAGAATAATAAATAAACAAATCAAAAACCTTATCTTCCATGTGAAGCTCAAGCCACCGCCAATCACTTGCTTTCACCCATTCTTCCACCGTCCACTCAGCCAATTAAGAAAAAGAAAAAAAAATAATATATATATATATATATAAACTTATTCTCTCCCTATCTCATTCTCGGCTTCCTCACATGAAAAGGCCCCCTCTACTTCACTCACCTTTTTCTCTCCTCACCACAACCCATTCTCCTTCATGTTGAAACAATTCTTCAAAGCTCAAGGCTAATCCAAGTCTTGGACAAAATGAGAGTATACTTTTAGAGTGCTTGAGAATTGACAATTTGCCATGTCTTTGTCGCATTTCCATCGGCTTCGCATAAGGTATGCATAGAAAAAATAAGTAGTTGCTCGATTTATTATGAAGCAACGAGGAAACTTTTTGTTAAGTATATGTTCTCATTGTTCCAACAAGGCAAGAAAATTCGTCATTACTTTTAAACAGGTGCCTGAAGACCCATGCACGTCTTTTAGACTGGTGGATTAGAAGTGTTGCAGTCCATGATGCTACAAAACATCACTCATGAGCATCTTACCAACGAGTGGCCTAGCACTCCCAAGGTAGCTTCCCAAATGGGGAGGATTTCGAAAGGCTGCTCAAAGGCAGACTAACGATAATATTAATACAAACGCTTAAAAAGTTATTATAAATAGAAGTACATGTTCTTGTTGCTCCAACAAGGTGGGAAAATCTACTACTGCTTTTACAAAGGTACATAAAGAGCCATGCTCATCTTTTAGACGGGTGGGTTAGAAGATGGGCGGGCCTAACTTTCCCAAGATAGCCCCCTATATGGGAATGACGCTGTAAGGCTGCTGAAATTCCTTCTGAACGCCGCTCAAAAAAGACAATTAAAATGAACTTATTTATGCTAAAATTCAATCAAAATAAAATTCATAAATTACAAATTAAGAACGTCATCGGATCTGCAACTCCATATACAAGCGGACATCAGGCGTTTCACTAGAATGCTCCAAAATGAAATCTTGCATAATACAGCTTTCACATTCCCCGAGAATACCTCCTTGAAGAATATTAAGTGCCTTAAGATATGTACATGAGATTATAAATGTCGAGTCAATTACACCACCTGTAAGAACATCAAATACCTTAAAGTTTGTGCAAATAGATCATATAAATACATTAAGAATTATGCACTATAAGTATTAAACACCCGCAATTGCTTTGACAAGTTTGTTAAATACTTAGACATGTGTTCTTGAGGCTGCACGAGCAATGGACCCCTTTGCCTATAGGGTGAGGTTGTAAGTCCACTTTGACCAATCTAATTCTCCTCCTTATAGGGACTTGATTTTGCGAGACTAAGCCCCCGTTGAACCAATCGAATCTTCCTAATTAGAACTAGAGTTGACAAGATTGGCCTCAAAATATGCCAGTTTGATCCTTCTCACGAGAGACTATTTTTAATGATATTTAAGTAATAATTTTCTCAAAAGGAGGGCATATCTATTGCACATCTTAACAGAAGAAATTTATTTAAAAAATTAAGATATTAAAATATTAAATTCAAAATATTAAATGAAATTAAATCACTTAAAGCTTAAAGTGAAAAATGCATCAACCATTAACAATAATTTGTCAAGATTGACAAATTTAAAGTTGACTCAAACTCACAAAGAGTCAAAATGATATCAATAATCATATGTCGGGATGTGTTCTCACTCATATGTCCGTGTGGTTTTGCCGCTAAATGACAACACAAAAAAATGATTATAAACAGAGCCCTCCGACTGGATAATTTGTCGCCAAATGGCCCCATTATATTACGGTCATAGTTGTGGCCTATATTTTCCTCAATGACAGTTTAGAATTTTTCTGTCATATTGGGTCGACTACCCCCACTGACTAAATAGACAAGGGATCATGAAAAAATGGGATGACGGGATCATACCATTCGCTCTTAAGCTCGCGATAATCATTTTACAATGTTAAATTTTAAATTTGTTGACGCTATATATATGTTTAGACTGAATACTTCGTACATTACGACTAGCCTTAATCAAAAGTGCTCTTCTGTTAGTGAGATGGGTAATTAATCATAAATGTTTGTGCCTAAGGGAAATAGCGAACCTTGATCTTAAACTCCTCGCAAAATGAGAGTAAAATCTTTGGATAGTGTCATATCTATTATCTCATCTGCCTTCTAAAAAATTGATATGGAACCTCACAATAAAACTCTCTAATCGCCATTTTCCTTAGAGGTTGGGCATTAAAATTTTCGGAGCCCACAGGCAAGCACAATATTTGACAGTAAGAAGATAACTTAGTTTGTACATTTGGTAGTGTGCGATGGTTTAGGAGATGAAGAGTCCAACTGATTAAGCTTCTCAAGAGAATTAAGTATGACAAAAAACCAAAAAGGCCCTAGACCACAAGAGACGGTACCATTGATTTTTATATTAGAACAAATATTTGAGGAGGGTTTCATTCCGAAGAAAAGAGTAAATGAAGCCATCAATTAGCAGTATAGAATTAAAATGAGGGTAGGGGCAATTAACCAGTCATTGCTCAACACTCAAACAAGATTGTGAATAAGAAAGCACCAATGAAGATGTTAGGAAACACACATGTTATCTAAAACATGGATGATGTATATGCAAACAACCCAAATTAAACATGGAAGGATGACGTCCAGAAAGTAGTAGGACAAATAGGAAATATAGTAAATGCAACAGATGCAACAAAAAGATAAGCACTATATGTGAGAGAATATGAAAACAAAAGAGAGTAGACTGCCATAACATGGTATGGTATGCAAACACATGTGAGCAGGAGGCCAAGTGCAGTAGCAAGGTCAATACAAAAGTAGAGTGGATGCAAAATGAAACGTGTAAGAGAATACAGTGGGAGACAGAAGAAACATGAGCTGCAGGCAGAACCTCGCAAAGGGCTATCATTAGTCTAAGGTTAAGTATGAGGGTGAAACACACATCAGCAAAGGCAGCGCTGCCAAGATGCTTGTGAGAAGATTTGCGAAAAAGGAGTAAAGGGCATCCTATTAGTAGGGATGATCGAATCCACTCTGATAAAACATTGACACGAGTTTGGAAATAACTGGATTGATTTCCGATAGAATTAGTGTCTATATAAAGGCAAATGTAAGCAAAAGAAAGGAGATAATTTGATATCAATGGAATTGTAATATTGCATAATAAAGATAAAATATCTTCATTGCCAAATTTTCAATCTGGAAAATCTCTGCAATAACAAAAAGGTCAGCGGAATGAAGCCGATTTACTCTCAAGCCAACATGTTAGCGCCAATGAAAACCTACTCTAGGCTTACTGGTATGTTTTTTGTCAAGCGTGGGGTTGCAAAATGATGTTATGCATATGAAGCAAACAGCAGCAAAGTTTTACACTGAGAAAATAAATGAAAAAAATTGGATTAAACTGAAGCAATATTGCATTAAAAGCATAACTTCCCATCAAATAATTTCAATAATAGAAGATTTCAAACATTCAAAAAATTTCATAGCCTGATGATTTATTTGATCATGTGGGATATGCTTGTCCAGAGTTGTTCTTGATATGCAAGAAGTTGCATACACATGAAGATAACATTTCAGGTATATTTCCTTGAAAAAATGAAAAAACATGCAATGCCATTCTACAGCTTATCAAGCTAGAAACAGCTGTCAAAAAAATAAATAAATTTATATTTCTAATCAAAAACAAGTTTCACATATATCTATTCCATTCAACAAGTACTTACTGACTGAAAAATCCTTCCGGAGCTTTTAAAACCTCCCTACCATAGCGTACAGCTCTTCGAAGAATTCGCCTCAAAACATATTCACGCCCCTCATTGCCTGAATCACAGATTTTAATTGTCAATGCAACAGCATAAGTAAAGCAAAAGCATTCGCATGTAAAGGTACAAAAAGAACTGCAAAATTATAGAAATGTGTTATGTAAGATTCATAATGTAGAATCATTCAATCAATTGGATTCGACTTTTCAAAGTGCACCTCTCAAGATGAGTTGAAAGTTACAATCGCTTTTTAAATATGTTTAAAATCTGATATTTTCAACAGGGAAGTACCATTTGTTATCTATAGCTCTTGACGTGATGATTACATTTTCTTACTTCTGTTATCTGGTCCTGAAAAAGTCTTTCCTTATCTTAATAAATTCACTATTTTAATTGTAGAAATTACAAAATTCAGTTTAAAACAAAACTAAAGTCTATATGAGAGCTAAAAAACAGAAAACAGAATCCTTTTTAAAGACCATATGGCTGATGATGCACCAGCTGGCATCATCTACAGTTTCAGCATTCATGTTTCCCAAAACAAAAAAAAAAGAAATGTAACATGGCACTCGAGAAAAATTCAAAAAGACAAACAAGAACTTCCACAAGAAAAACTAAAATTCCTTTATGGCACAATCCCAAACAAAAGCAAACACATGCAAGTCGCAACATAATTTGAGAATTGTGCATGTCTTCGAAATGTGTTTGTCTAACACACTGGTCAAAGTGTAGATAATTATATAAAAATTGAATATGTAACTACCAGGACGAGAACCATCAGCAATAGCAAATGACAACGTTCTTATATGATCAGCCACCACCCTATAGGCCATGTCAACTTTATCCACATCATCTGCCCCAACCTTTGCCGAGTATGGTCGAGCTCCAGTCGCCTGAAGTTGGCAAAAAGAAAATAGCAAGCATCATGAGTTATATGACTCCTGCATATGGTTAGACGAGAAGATTCATTGAAAGCCTACAAGTTCAAAGCAAAACTTCTAAACAACTTAATGGCACAACAACACAGGTATCCTTAAAAAAATGATATCAAAATATCATTCAAAAGGAAAAAAAAAGAACTAGAACAGCTGCAAAGCTATGCACGTACTTGCTGGATAGCACCAAATAATGGCATGAACACATCAGTGTCATAATTGCTCATTTTCTTCTGCAGTATAGAAGTTAAACGCTCAAATCCCATCCCTGTGTCAACATGTTTTGCAGGTAAAGGCTTTAAACTGCCGTCCCCTTCTCTATTAAACTGAAAAGAAAAGGGAGAGAGAGGGAATCGATCTCTTAAAACCATGAGTAGAAGAATAGTAAATTGCATGCAAAAATAATACAAGTGCCGGTGTGGGTTTTAGCACACTATCTAAACTGGCACACAAAATTCTCAAAAGAGATACCTGAATAAATACAAGGTTCCATATTTCTATGCAAGTTGGATCATCATTGTTGACCAAAGCAGAAGCATCACGGTTACCAACACGGTCAAAATGAATTTCAGTGCAAGGACCACAGGGGCCAGTATCACCCATTTCCCAGAAGTTGTCCTGTTCACAAACAAGATCAGTCAGAGCCCGGTTATAAAAATAAACTCAAATAAAAAATGTACAAAAGGCTTCCCACCAATCAGGAGTTTGAGAGGAGCAGAAAGAAAAGTCGAGAAAACAAATCAAGTAAACAGACACAGAATCACAGAGTTGAATATTTCCCATAAGTGCTAAAGCATACAAAGAAACAGAGTAAATACAGAATATAATAGATGATTGGAACACAAGGTTGATATTCTTCCCCCAACAACATTATCAATGTCCTTAGTCTTATCCGAACTTTTCCAGTATCGCAAGTCTCACCCAAAGGAGCTAAACCCTAAAGTTTCCATTCCAGTACCAACTTTTAAGATGCAATGTGCTTAGCGTAAACTTCTCCCACGAATAAGAAGAAACCCTGATAACAATACAAAGGGGGATTTACATGCATACCACATAGTTCATATATATTTACATATCTAACAGGTAAACTTTGATATTTACTTTTATCGAACTTTAGTGTCTTAAATCTATGTATGCAAAGATGCGTTTCACTTTAAAAAAGTTAGCAGTAGTGGTATTTTTTATGTGATATTACAGATTTTGAGCATTATGAATATAAATATAAAAGTTTGGCTGTTAGATATGTAGACGCATAAGAATTGTATAGTCTGTATGTAGATGCCCCAAAAAATAAATAAAACACTGAAATGAAAGCTAGGTGATTCTTAGAAAAAGTTTAATAAGAAAATGTAACCGCAATGCATAGGGATGTAGAAACAGAAATAAGAGCATAACACGCTTGAGAAAACATTTAAAGAGCATATTTTGTCTATTCCACCCCCTTTAGACCATGTTTGGTTTTATCACTTTTATGGTGCCTATGTGAAACGACATTTATCACTAGACTGAAATAATGCACGCATCCACTTTCTGCTTTGTGGACCCTCACAACCACAAAGAAAGTCAAGGGCAGGCAAATCCTTGCGGCCCACCCACGAACAAACCCCAAACCTCTCTCCATCGGCCTCAGATGGAGTACCCAAAAAATATAATAACAAAGACATAAAGCAATTTTCATGTCATAATGATTACTTTCTCTAGTACAGCATAGCAGAGAATCTATAAAATCGTTAATAAAAAATATATTTATCATCTTATAGATATATTCACATATTCACCATAAATCATAAACATATGTGATTAAATATGCCTGTACAAATTATGTGAGCATCTTGTCTCACTAATATTTAACATGAAATCAATGCCAACGATTAAAATGATCTTCAATGTACACATTATGTGGGTTTACAAAGTTGCGTTGAATTAATGAGGTCAGGAAAATGTGTATAGATCATATAACCCAGCACACAGTAAATAAAATACAATGTCTACACATTCATCATCATCAACGACTTCGTCCCTTTGTGTTGAAGGTTGACTAACCATCAACTCTATTTAATATTTTTTTACATGAGCTCAATCCATGCGACTTTCAGTCTTCATTTTAACCTTCGTATTGCACATTAATTATATTGCACCTTATCAGTGTATATAAAGAACATCTTGTTCGTATATGTTAAACCTAAAAACAGATAAACTGAAAAATAAAGTATAGTATATACATGTTAAACCTATGAAAAAAACATTTATGCAAGCATGCATGCCCGCCACACACATTCAGCATACTTACAAGCATTCAAACTACTATAAATTCGCATAGTAACGAATTATATCATTAAAATCTGGAAACCTCTAAAATGCTATTGTTTGTGGTAAAGCAAGCCATCCTAAAAATCATTGGCTAAACAGCACTGGAATGTCAAAGAATTTTCAGGTACTCGCCCTTCTCATCTTCAATCATTACTGCTAGCACAATCAACATTCCACGAGTGCCTTCACAAGTTTTTGTTGGATAAGAAGACTATCGACCTTAATTCTCCAAATGTCATAACTCTTCATTTTTTAGAGTGAAATGCTTAACTCAATGACACACAAGAAGAACAAGATTTACATGGTTGGGCTTAAAGCAAGCCTGCAATAACGGGAGAAGAGAAAGGATTCAATCCATTAACAACGAAAATACAAAATAAAGACACTTACCCGCCTTCCCAAAGCTAAGTAAACCCAAATCTCAATCATACAAGGCCAAAGTACCCTTGTAATCAAGTTTTAGCTCACATCTTGAAATTGGCCTTCAAAATAAAGTTTGCCAAAGAAGTTGTTTCCCTCCATCCAAATTAAAATCTTTAGTTATTCGTGCCTAAAGACATAAGGCTCAAAACTGAGTGTTTCGTGATCTAAAGATCAACAAGTAAACGGACACTCTCTTCAATAGTATGGTTTCAAAATGCGAAATATAAAGCCCGCCTCAATATTTTTTTTTTAAATTCACAATGAGGCTATGCCATTGGGTGTTGCATAATGTTGACGCCTCACGTAATGTGAGGCCCACCATAAAAAGCACCTCGCCTCAATTTTGTTCAGGCATATGCAATCAAATTGAATAAATATAAACAAAATAACCTTGGTAAACATTCCTCACCCATATAATGCACGATGAAAAATGTAATTGAACATGTTACTATTAATAGTCATTATTTTAAACCTAATAGATATTCTTATTAATTAATATTGATTAAATAAAAATATGATAATTGAGAGAAGATGAACACAAATGAGAATGAGATGAACAAAGAAAGTAAATTTCTATGTTGATGATTGTAATTAAGGTTCATTAAATGATAAATGATGAAGACTTTTGAATTTAGAACTTCCAACCTTAGTGATTTTTTATGTTCATACTTTAATGGATGACAATAGAAGTGTGAAATTAATTATATGAAATTTATTTTGAATATTTATATTATTATCTAACTTTGATATTTGTGACTTTTCTTATTGCATGATTTAATATTTAAATGTTAACGTTATTTATTACTTTTATCATTTTAGTATGTTAATATGTTACATTAACTTGTTAATAGATTAGTATATTAATATATTACTTCTTACAACATACTTTAAATTCAGTACATTTTTTTTTTTTGTAATTTGCTGATTTTGAGGCTTACACTATAAAATGTTGATTCGAAGCTAATACCTCGTCACACAAATAAAAATTGCCTCAATATCCAATTAAGCATTCAAGAGATTTGTTTTTTACCTTGGAGATTCTTGCTCTCTCCATAACAAATGTTGTAAAATGAGGACAAATCCTCAACTTCACATTGAAGTTTTCATGCAACCCCACTTCCTCCACTTGTAATCAACTTCCTCCATCTTGGAGCATGGTTTGAGTTTATGATTGTCATTATAATGAAGAGAAGACTGTTGTTTCAAAATCTAAAATTCTCTTCTCTAGTAGCATGCGTGATTATAACAAATGCCTCTCCAAATGATCCCGTGTATCCTCTCCTTCATCTCTTGACCAAAATCACCATATGCCCTCTTCCTTTGTTGCATGCCAACACCTTTGGGAGTTCTAACTCTCATCCATCAACTCTCATTCCCTCTTCCCATGTGGTCTCTTTATTGGCAACTTCTTATTCAAATATAGAAAGTACCCAGCAAGACAAAAAGAATGAGATAAACACACAAACAAAAACAATAGAATAAGAGTGTAATTGGCTATGAATCAAAGTGGAATCCTATCAGGTGAAGGTGTCGGTTGATCTAGAAACCCAAGAGAAGACCAAGGCCCTCTTGCATAGAAAAAAAAAAGTCCACACAAGACCTCTACGTTTTAGTAGTTTCATTAGTAGATCTTCACCAACAAAGCATATGTAGTATCAAATCAAATGGTATTAGAAAAGATGTATCAAATCAAATGGTATTAGAGAAAATGGCTCCCTAATTCTCAGAACATATTGTTAACAATGAGAGACTACAAGAAGACTAAAGAGCCACTTTTTGGCATCGTTCAAGAGGGCATCGGACTCCATTTCATCGCGGAAACATTTATTAGAATGCCTGCCTTCTCTTTGAGGGATTAAATTCTTCAAAAATTTATCTACCGCAAAATTATTTTTCATCGTTTTGGGATCACACCTTTAGCCCTCCGTTCCGTCGTCATTGATCGTAGTTCGAATGTTTCTGAAATCAAATGTCCAATATCTTGTAGTATTCTCCTTTGATGAATGAAAATGTTCTTGCTTCATCCATGGAGAAGACTGAGAAGAAAGGAGAAAGCAGTGAAATGCCTCCAATACTCCCCGAAGAATCCAGGAAGGCCGATACAAGTAGTAGTATCTTTATTCACTCTGATGTTCATTTCTGCCTCCTCTTTTAATATTACCTGTTATGGATCATCTTCTTATGGGTTCAAAGACGAACTCAAAACCCTTCCAATTGCTGCAAAGACTTTGTCGATGAGGTCATCGACGGTGGTAACAACAATAGAAAATACAGTGGAGGACTTGGAGGTTCCTAGTGAGAGGATTAGCCGCCCTCTCTAAGAGATCTTGAGGAAGCTCGGTAAGAAGGTGTCAAACTCCTTCATGAAGGAACGGGTCGAAGATGAACATAACACCAAATGCCCTTTCAACTTCGTTGCTTCGCTATCCACCAATATCACTACAGGTTGTTCCCCAATCTACCCCCCCCCCCCCCCCCCCCCCCCCCCCCC